ACAGCCCTGGGACAGCCCGGTACAGCCTCGGGACAGCCCTGGGTCCGCCCCAGGACAGCCCCGGGACAGCCCCAGGACAGCCCCGGTGCAATCCCGGTACAGCCCCGGGACAGCCCCGGTACAGCCCCGAGACAGCCCGGAACAGCCCTGGGACAGCCCGGTACAGCCTCGGGACAGCCCTGGGTCCGCCCCAGGACAGCCCCGGGACAGCCCCAGGACAGCCCCGGTGCAATCCCGGTACAGCCCCGGGACAGCCCCGGTACAGCCCCGAGACAGCCCCGGTACAGTCCCTGGTCAGCCCCGCACAGTCAAACAAGTTGGAGAATACTACTGAGAGCTGCACGGTCAAGACTTCATAAGAATTGGTCATATTTTCATATTGTTTTGTTCTTGACAATTGATGTGGTCAAACTTTTAGAAACACAGTACCTGTAGGAATTAACAGAAAAGTTTCCTTGAACTTCTGTATTTGCAAAAAGTTATTACCTGAAAGTACACATTGAAATCCATCCAAGCAAGCGGTGGCATTATTTTGGCAACATATCTGATAACTTCTTTCTCATTGCTAAAGAGCTTTCCCCAAACATGGCGTGCCAAAATTGTCACTATTCCTACAAAGACACCCTCTGATAAAGCCACCACAATGGCAACAACCAAAGCCAATCGGGCTCGTTGCGGCTGCCCAGCACCCAATTCATTGGACACCCTTGAACTGTAAACACACAACAAGTGGAACTAAATATTAAATTAGTGTACAATCACTGCAATTTATCATGCTGTCATTGTCAAAAAAATGGTAAAGCAAAGAATAATCAGTGCAGTTGAGATTTCACTTTACCTTATTGCTCCACCAAGTCCAACAGAGACCATGTACACCGTCCACATTGTGTTCACACTAGAAAAGATAAAATGACAATCAAAGAACGGTTTTGGAAGAGATACAAATTATCAGAAGTAACTTTGCGAAATGGTTATATGAAAAGGACTATAAATACCTTATTGACAACACTGATGTCTCTAGCTTTGGGTTTTTGAGAAGACCAGATAAGAGAACAACCATTTCGAATGACCAGTATTCAAAGCGGTAAACCAAGGTAATCCTTGAAGTTATCGAATAGAAGCCGATGGATAGTTAATGGTCTTTTCATTTTGGGAGCTTCTGAATCTTACCATATCATCACTGCTGAAGGAATGGCAAGTCTCATAAAGCTGAAAAAATCATGGAAGCCATCTTTTGAAAACCCTGCCCAAGTATGCCTGCAAGCCCCAGAGAATTTCAAATAAATTGCTAACAAAAACACATTGAACCAATATGATATGTTGTTTGCCAAGGCCGCTCCTCTAATCCCAAGCCCAAATTTATAGACAAGAAGCCAGCAAACAATGGTGTGGAGAAGAGCTGTGACCCCAGAGCTTATCATCATAGGGAAAACAATGTTCCGTGTTTGTAAGAATCTGTTAGGCATTGAAGCAGGCCGAAGGCAAACAGACTTGGGATCATCCACCGGTTGAAAGTTCCCGCTCTGGTAGATATCTCGTGGTCTTGGTGTAGTGAAATGAGAATGGTGCTTGTGCAAAACCAAATAACTGATAGGGGAATGCTTATGGTCAAAAGTGTTAGCACTGCTCTTTGCATGTGAATTCCAAGCAGGTGGTATTGTTTGGCTCCCTTGTCCACACAGAGTCTCCAAGGCGCTAGCCATTCCTAACTTTCAGGAGGTTTTGAGAGGAACTTCAGAGAAGCTTGAAGTGTTTTCAGCACATATCCAAACAAAGATTTAGATATAATTTCATGATCAGATTTTACACTTTTACACATCCAAACGCTGGTACAGATTGTAGTTCAAACCACATTGATTAGATTTTATAGTTCAAACAGAAAAGGTTTAAATCACCACAATTCGGACCCACAAACCAATCAGATCCTACATTTCATAGGAAAAAATTTACACTAAAACATGCTAGTTCCTCCAAAATCCTTGCAATTTTTCCTTAAAAAGTATGACACGACTAAACTATATTGTAAAACACAAATATTCATGACAAAATTAAGCCTTTTAGGGTCTTCATTACTAGTTTTATAAGAAAAAAAGTTCAATGGATCAGCTTATAATTCATTTAAATTCTTATCTTTTTCCTCGCAGTATGACACATTTATCTCAACTATATTGAAAAATCACAATCCTCAGGAAAGATTTTACCTGCTAGCTAATTCTTTCAAGGCCTTGAAGAAACAAAAGAGTAGGGGCATTGTCAAGCAGGCTTGAGAGGTATTTTAAGAGGCGTTTAGAAAAATCCCCCCTACCAAAACACTGAAACCAGTCACTGAAGCAAATGAAGTGGCCAAAGAAGCACTGGAAAGAGACAATTCCCCAAGATGACCATTGAACATGACAGATATCAACTGTATGCTATTCTGCAGAATGCTAACCACTATAGGAGGCCCTGCTAGTCCCAGTTGTCGTTTCGCTTCACCGATAGCATCTAATCCACAACAGCAGACTTGTTGGCATGCTTCTGAGCCAGCTACATGGATGTTTTTATTGTTATCCCCATATGCAGATTCTGGAGCCAAATTTTCTCCTCCTTCCATCCCAATAAGACAACTTCTGTTCTCTTTCTGATTTTACTTTAAGAATAAAGAACGTGTCCAAAAGAAAAAAGAAGAAGAAATGTTGTAAGAGTACAAATATAGTTATAAATCATGAAATAAAGATAAAAGAAACATCAGTAGTGCATGAAACAATAACCCATGATGCAGTGGGTCCTAATTGTCGGGCGCTCGATAAATAACATCGTTCGAAAGTAAGTCTTGCCAGATGACAAAGATTAAAAACAGGAGTTGATTTCCATAGTTCCAGTTTTTCTTTTTCTACCTACTAGAAGTTATTCATTGACTACAAATATAAGGATCATTCCTATACTATAGATAATCATATAAGCATTTTCTTTTTCCTGAATTGGATAATTAAGACTGAAGTTATATTGATTATCTAGATCAAATAATTCATATGAACTTTTTGAAGAAATTTCAGGTACCATTAAGTGAGGAAGTTGGATCGGTTGGATTCTGCGGATTTGCTAATCTTGTTTGCTATGGAAGTTGACCTGATTTTTATTTTTATTCGGATCATTTAAGCTCTGGTGAAATAAATGCTTTATAAAAGAAACTGAGAGATGGGCAAATGGAGTCAAACACAATAGTCCAACATAAAAGGATGAGACAAAATCATTTTAATACCCTTTATAGCGAAATATACATTTGGTAATACCCTTAACATTTTATAAAATGATTTTTTATTACCCTGAACAGTGTTTTGGGACATAAAATAAAATGACAAATTTTCCCTATTTAAAATTATGATATATATATTATATTTGCTACTCGAACTCCTACTAAGATGGTTACTAACTACTACAAGATATGTTAGATGAAAAGACATTTAAATTATTTTGATATTACAGCTGGAAAGAATAAAAACAAAAACCCATCAATTAATATTTTTCCACCCATAAATGATAACTCCGTTTGCCCTCTCAGTTAACTTCATTAATTGTAGTTGAGGTGTTAAACTTTTATTAAGGGAACAGCCAAGGGACAGCCTACAAAAATGTCTACCAAAAATTAACAGCGCTGAGCAAATGTTTTGTTAGTCCTTTTAATGGAGATATGAACGGTTTAGAAAAAGAAGACGTACTTTGAAAGAGGAAAAATAAAAAATTGCTTATTGCGTAGAAAGTGCCAAAGTGGAACTATGAAATTCAATTATAAAAGGGAAGAGGGAGTAGGTGGCAGGCTTGCCAGCCCATTTCAATTAGGCACCGAAATTTTGGTGCCTCCTCATAATGCCAATAAGAGACTTTCGTTTCCATGGGGCTCTATAAATAGAGCTATAGAATTTTGAGAGTTTTGGTCATGTGTACCCATTTTATGTTTACACACAAATTAGATTCCGAGTGTAATGTGTGTATATATATATCTCTCTGTAAAAGTCTAGCCAAGATCGCAACAACAAAATTAAAATAGGCTAGTGGGCGCTTCCAATGGAAGAAGTCGGAGGAGAAATACATAAAAAAAGTACGAAAGAGAGTTTAATATTATTGCCAAAACAAAGAGAAGAAGAAGATTTAGAAGAAAAAATTTGCTCAAGTAGTTCTAGTGCGTGTGCTTTAACATGGAGTGTTTTGTTACAAGAAGTGAAGAGATTGGGATGCATAGCAGCACCACTTGTGGCTGTGATTTTGTCGCAGTATTTGTTGCAGGTCATTTCCGTCATGATGGTCGGTCACCTTGGCGAGCTTTCTCTCTCTAGCACAGCCTTAGCCATTTCTCTCTCTGGGGTCACCGGCTTCAGTCTTCTGGTTAGTTCTAATATATATTTGCTTTCATCTTCTTAATTTTGTCTGTTTATGCAAATTTTCTTTTTGCTTTCTTCTTAACTTCGTTTTGAGCATGAATCTGGGGAGAGAAAAAAAAAGTATTGCTCAATCTATATTAACAACTATCTGTTGATTATACTTATGTGCTTTTGATACTAACACTTAGAAACAGTGACGGAGCCAAAAAATTTTATGAGAGGGACTAATAACTACAATGAAAATTTAAAAGGTATAAAATTGTAGTTTTAATTTTTAGAGGGGCTTTGTACAATTTTCCCAAGTTTATCTTATATATATATACATATATATATATATATATATATATATTAGAATCTTCGCTTTCTTGATCCGAGGATCATGGATTCATGGGTCTTTGCTTATTTGTCGCCCACGACGTGGAAAAGAGTACAACAGCTCATCCACCACTGTCGTTTTGCACATGGAGAGATATCAATGTGCGAACAGTTTTCGTCTTTGAACGAATTTGCCTGCTTCCTTATTGTTAATGGACCACATGCATTCTAACAATGACTAATTAAGTTTACCAAGTTGGTTTAGTAAATGATTTAGGGACCGTACATTTCATATATTTGAAAAGAAAATTTGAATAAAAATTCAAATTTTTGGTGAGAAAACATTATAGTAGAAAGGGTTTGAATTGTAGCAAAAAATTGCAAATCACATGTCCAATATCTCAAATAATCAATCGGGTCCGTGATGTTTTTGTTTCTAAACAGTTAGGAATGGCGGGTGCACTAGAAACTATATGTGGGCAAGCATATGGAGCTGAGCAATATAAAAAACTTGGACGTCAAACTTACACTGCCATATTTTCCATGTTCTTGGTTTGCCTCCCTATATCTTTAATTTGGATCTACATGGGAAAGTTACTTGTTTTAATTGGTCAAGACCCTATTATTTCTCATGAAGCTGGCAGATTCGCAATTTGGCTTGTTCCTGCTCTCTTCGCTTATGCAACTCTTCAAGCACTTATTAGATACTTTCAGACCCAAAGCTTGATGCTTCCTATGTTCATAAGCTCCTGTGTGACCCTTTGTTTTCACATTCCTCTGTGTTGGGTTTTGGTGTTCAAGTCCGGACTGGAAAACGTTGGAGGTGCATTGGCAATAAGTATTTCCTATTGGTTGAATGTGATTCTACTTGTGTTGTACATGAAGTTTTCTCCTTCTTGTGCAAAAACTCGGGTTCCGATTTCTATGGAGCTTTTCCAAGATATCGGAGAATTTTTTCGCTTTGCCATCCCTTCTGCAGTAATGTTATGGTAACTTATTTCTTCCTTCTTTTCGATTCATATAATCAAAATTCTTCTATTCATTTTCTCTTCTTATCTTTATTCTTTTATTTTTTTTATTTTGTTAATGATTTCGATTGATGTTCATAGCCTTGAGTGGTGGTCATTCGAGCTAATTATTCTGATGTCTGGGCTCTTACTAAATCCACAGCTTGAAACCTCAGTTCTTTCTGTGTGGTGAGTTTTCTGCTACTATTTTTATAATCTCTTTCTCACAAAAATATTCTTTTCATTGAAATGTAATGTTCTCATTTCTTTACCTACGACAGCCTAAATACCATTTCAACATTGTATACAGCAGCACATGGGCTAAGTGTTGCAGGAGGGTATGCTCTTTCCCCAACTGTTAGATTAACTTTTTAACAATCTGATTTGTGATGTCCACGTTAAAAATTTAAAGTACACGACACATAACTACTTCTAGTCATAAATCAGAACATTAAAAAATGAATCCAATGATTAAAATAACAGTACCTACCCGTAGGACAAAAATATAGTTCGTGCCATAAGTTTTGCCTATTGATACCTACAATTAAAATATTCAATAGAAATGCAAAAACATCTATGTATATCAATGTGACTCCATGTGTGTTTTGTAACAGCACAAGAGTCTCAAATGAACTTGGAGCTGGAAAAGCGCAAGCTGCTCGAATCGCTACCTTTGCTATAATCTTTCTAACAATCATAGAGACAACTATAGTAAGCACATCACTCTATGCAAGCCGCCGTGTTTTCGGTTACATTTTCAGCAATGAGAAGGAAGTTGTGGATTATGTCACGGAAATGGCTCCTCTGATTTGCATATCCGTTGTACTAGACAGCTTCCTAGGGGTCCTTTCAGGTCACTACAAAACATGTCCATCTTTTATGTCACTAAAATATAAATTTTTGTCTTTGTTTTTGTTTCGTTTTGTTTTTTTGTTTTTAATTTTTTAGTATTTTTTAAAATTTAATTCAGGTGTTGCTAGAGGATGTGGATGGCAGCACATAGGGGCTTTTATAAACCTTGGGGCATATTATCTTTGTGGAATTCCAATAGCTGCAACATTGGGTTTCTGGTTTAAGCTCAGAGGAAAAGGCCTCTGGATTGGCATACAATGTGGTGCTTTTGTTCAAGTTTTTCTGTTGTGTCTTGTTACTAGTTGTACAAACTGGGAAAAGCAGGTCTACCCTCTACCTCAATTCTTCTCCTCTTTGTCAATCCCAAATTTCATAAACAAAATTTTTGATAAATCTTAATCGAGCCTTCCAAATGCAAAGAGCACTTCCATTACTTTTCATATTTTTCTAAACGGATTTCACCCTTTTTGCTGATGTTTCAGGCAAGTAAGGCAAGAGAGAGGATATTTGAGTATACATCTCTCAGAAATGGATTGGAGGACCGGGGAGAGTTAAAATAGAATATTAGAATTGTCTGATGAATGTATTTTTCTTGTACACGGTTGTAGCGGGAAAAATTTTGTTTCCACAATGAGAAAACTAGTACTAGTCTATAAGGCGGAAGTTTGCCAAAATGACAATTCTACGAAATAAAATTAGTAAAATGATCTTTTTTATTTTTACACAGAGAGTGATCCATTTTGTCACATAGTGTAAAAGTATTTGTGCCGAATCATTCTGAAATCATTTTATAAATTAAGACATTTAAAAATTATCTTATATATAAAGATTTTCATTAAATTTCTTTTTAAATGGAGCTCCAATACCCTATTGCAGTTTTGCACGGTCAAGACTTAATAAGATATTGCCCTATTCGCTACGCGGGTATGAATTGTGAGTTTGAATTTTTGGGTCTGAATTTTTGGGTTTGAAACTATATGTGGTTTTTTTTATAGTTTGAACTGACATTTGTTAATGTAAGGTCTAAACCGGGAATAAAGTTTGAACCAGTATTCGGTTACATTATTAGAATTATGAGTTTTTAAAAAAATGTGAGTGAAATCAGTTGGTCCCGCCTTTGGGCTGAGTTTTGAATAGTAAAATGCATTACCCATCAAAACTTTACGGGGGTAAAGTTGAGTTCAACCTTCAATTTTGGGTTCAAACCTAAGTTTTGGTTCAAACTTTAAAGCAGCCAACCAAGGGTTCAAACCCTCCATAATCCTCCAATCAAACAGCCCGTGTTGGGGTGTTTTGTACATGGGTTTAGATGCCCAACCTGAGTTGTTGTTTGGTAAGTTATTTTTGAGTAACTTTATTTGGATTGTGCAGCTGGTTTGAACTACCTCCCACCCTCCTTAATTCATGTTTTCAACGCATATCCAAACACAGATTCAATAATCATTTCATGCACCGATTTATACTTTAACACATCTAAATGACGGTTTGGATTACAGTTAAAACCACATTGTTTAGAATTTAAAGTTTAAACTAAAAAGGTTGAACCAAATGGATCCTAAGTTTCACAGGAACAATTTTACGCTAAAACAAGCTAGTTCCTCCAAAATCCTTGTAATTTTTTCTGGAAGTATATGTCTAAACTATATTGTAAAATACACATGTTCATCACAAAATTCGCTTGCTATAAGCCTTTTAAGGTCTTCATTCTTAGTTTTATATAGAAAAGAGTGCCCCGTTCATTTCACTGATTTGAGTTTTGCTACAGTAAAAAGCTCTCAGAAACAGTCACATCTAACTTTTTTGCTACAGTAAAAAGCTCTCACAAAAAGTCATATCTCAACTCAAATCAAAAACTCGAATCAGCGAACTAAACGGGTCATAGAACAACTTATAATTCTATGTTCTTATGTATTTCCTTGAAGCGTTACACATTTATCTCAACTAATTGAAAGTGGCAATCTTTAGGACATAAACCTGCTTGCTAATTCTTTTAAGGCCTTGAAGAAACAAAAGAGTATGGGCTTTGTCAAGCAGGCTTGACATGTATTTTAAGAAGTGTTCAGAAAAATCTCATTTACCAAAACACTGAAACCAGTCACTGAAGCAAACGAAGTAGCCAATTAAGAAGCACTGGCATGAGGCAGTCCCCCATGATGACCATTGAACATGACAGATATATCAACTGTTGGGTATATTCGGAATTGAGAGGATGAAAAGAATAGAGAAAACAGAAAGAGGGTTTGAGTCGTATAGGAATACTTTCCTTTAAGGTTTTATTTGCCCTCACTTCTCAAAGTTTACTAATGAGTTTTAAATGGCAAATTACCACCAAGATACAACAAACCCTTGAACACAATATCCAGCAAAAATATTGAGTTCCAGAACAATAATAATCAGTATTTTCTGAAGTCCATCAAATAAAGATAGGGATGCTTCCATCCTCTTTAAGTGTTACAACCTTTCACATAAAGATACCTCTTCAATTTGAAGGTTATCTTTTATATGCTGATGCACTTATATTAATAGTTATTTCTATTGTTAATAAGTGCTCAGATATGTGAGAAAACATATCACAAATAGATGCAATAGTTCGAGACCTTTTCAGATCACTAAAACACACAAAAACACGTTTTCCGTTAGTAACATGCGCTGCAGTGGATGACATTCACGCTGCAGCGCTCGGGCTACGCAAAACAGACCCGAGAGGTCTGTTTTGTGTGCGCTGCAGCACCCAAAAGGCGCGCTGCAGCGCACGCTGCAGCGCTCTTGCTTTGCAAAACATACCCGAGAGGTCTGTTTTGCGCAGGTTGCAGCGCGCCCGTGCACTGCAGGGCACGCACCTGCGCGCTGCAGCGCGCCGTGCGCTGCAGCGCACGCTCCTGCGCGCTACAGCGCGCGCTTGTGCGCTTCTGTTCTTCCCGAATGTGTTTTAGGTCAACTTTGTGATATCAAAATTGAGAGATATATTACAATCTCTCTAACAATCCCTCACTAGATTGTAATATTTCTTCAGAATTAACAACGATAAACACATACATACATGAAGGTATCTTTCGATTTTAACCTTCACTTAGCGACTATACTTCAAAGTATTCACAAGACAATAGTGTGCTTTGCATTAAACTTTGTCTCTTAAGCAAATACTGAAAATATATCACATATGTGTTATCCCAGACTTAAAAACTGTTCCAATCGTTTAGCACTATTCCGGCCTTGTGCTCTATCTTGGATTCATGAACATTTACAAGACTAAACCAAGATCTTGTTAGGAACGACACCATTCCTTATGTTCACTAAGGTGAAGTTCGAATTATATATCTAGCTACTATGAGACTCGAACTCCATTAAGAGTATAAACTCAACCTCAACCACGTAGCTATTTTGCACCGATTATCTTGGAAGGGACTAATTAAAGTTCGGCGCTAACCCGGTCACATAA